CTCCATTTCTAACAAGAAAAGGCCACAGTTGGAAGATAAATATTCCCATCCTTCATCCAACTAGAAAAGGCAAAGTTACTCAGTTCTTCAACACTTCGAGAGCTTCATATACTCATCTTTTGTGAAGAAGCAACGTTGGAGAAAACTGATTCTACATCAAACACTTCTTGAAAAAGAAGGGACATCTCAAATTAGCTGGAGTAAGTGAAGTGGAGATACTTCAAGAGACTCAGTGAAACGAGACCAACCATCAGGAAGCAGGACTGCATCCCGGGTGGCAACTAGACTTGAAGAAGACGAGGAGTGCTTCTTAAGTTCTAGGGACTAAGGCGTTGTAAACTGTCGTTTTTGCAAGCTTAGTGGAACAGTGGACTAGAGGAACGAGTTGTTCCTTGAACCACTATAAAAACCCCGGTGTCATTTACTTTCAGCTTTTACTTTCTGCACTTAAGATTCGACTGACTAACTCTTTAGGTTGGAATCTGTGTCCAGCAGATCTTCCTTCAGAGTTATCAGAAAGACATTTTGCCTTAGCTTTCTTCTAGAGGCTACCCGGACCGAAACTTATCCGCTGCCTGGTCTAGTTCTGCCATCAGAACTTGACCATCTCTGTCACCAGATTTCGACCATCTCTGTTAAGTCAGACTTGACTTAGAGAAAAGTTTAAATTCCTGAACAGTCTATTCACCCCCCCCTCTAGACTGTTCCCATTACAAACGGGACCAACAAAACCTCAGGTACTCCCGAAGGAACGGGTGCAGAGGGAACCTAAGTCCCATGGAAACCGAGAGGACGTGAATGGCGATAAACCCCTCGGGCGCCCTGGACAACACGTCGTCAGGACCCGGCTCCACCACTTCGGCCGAGGGCCCCACGTGCAGCTGAGTAACATACAGATCTACCCTATCGGCCTTCGACTTAATCTCGAGGGCCTCAGTGTTCAACCAACTGTACCCCTCGGGCATATCCACTGGCTTTCCTTGATCAACAGCCCTCTCCTTCTTTTTGGTAGCGGCCTTCGCCCTCTTCTTCTTCAACCCGGAGACCGCCCTCAGAGGTGTCGGATCTAGCGGCCTCGAGCTACTTGCTTCCCCAGAACCCCGGGGGTGGGGGGGGGAGAACAGCGACTGTAACCTTCGTACTCTCATTTTGCGCCTCGTCCTCCGCTACTTGCCATGCGAGGGCTAGGTCTTCATCCTCGCACTCTTGCTCGAAGCCCTCGGCTTCGACCTCAGCAATAAGTTCCTTCTGGACCTCCCGGGCCAGGGCGGCATCAGCACCAACCGAGGGCTCGCTCGCGGACTCCGCATCAGAAACGTGCTCCTCATCAGCCGAAGGGTCCCTCGATATGTTTTGGGAATCGCTCTCGGACGACATTTTTTATCACGAAATGTGCCTAAGATTTCGAAATCTTTCTACGGGCTCTAACGCCTAATCTAAGGCCACAGGACGAGACTTACTAAGAACTTTGAAGAAGGAGGGACTGACCTTTGAAAGCAGCGGATTCGACCGAAGGCTTGAGTTTCTCTCTCTAGAAATTTTGGCAGAGCTTCGCTAAGGATGTTGGATGCGTAAAGAAGGAATAGCGTTGGCTTGGGGTATTTATAGGCTCCCAGATCCGGGCTCCCAGCGGCCAAAGCAATCATTACGCACCGCCGTTTCACCCAACCAGTGACGCCCGCCCACGAGCAGCCAACGGCTACACTCCACGTGTACCCCCCCCAACGGCTATAACTTGACGTTACATATTCCAACGGCTATATTTCCAACGGCTGTATTCTGGGTGATGGATAGTCTACCCGGGGGTATATATCCGAAGGGTTTTTGCTGGGAATAATTTAGAGAGAAGTCAGAGCAAGTAAATGTAAAGAGGGAGAGTGTATTATCAATGTGGAGCGTTTCAGCGTGGTTACAAATGGGGAAATGGGGTGCTATTTATAGTAGCAATAAATGCCGGACAGGGACACGTGTCAAGCGCCTATTGGCCGAGGGGTCACCTCAACTGGTTGGCGTTGGCAGCCGCATGTGGCCGCATTTAATGCGGCTGTTGGATGGGACGTCTGTACAGGGTACGGTGATCTGTACGCATGTGAGGCGGATATCATGTCGGGAGAGGTGCCCTCGGCTTCAGAGGGCTAGCCGAGGGCTCTTAGTGCCGGGGACCCCTGAGTGCCGAGGGCTCCAGGTGCCGAGGGCTACTGTTTTCGCCGTTTTCTCCCAGTTCCTCTGTTTGTTCGAAATATCCATGCTGTGATAGTTTGGAGCCTTCGGCCAAGGGGGCGAGGGCACCCCTGACGCGTATTGCGGGCTGCTTGGTACTCTGGGCGTCGTGATTTGGGCCTGTTGGGCCTTCTGGGCCTGTTGGGCCTCTACTGGAGTAGTGGGAGTCTGTGGGCCGGGTGTTCCCGGGCCATATACTCCATCAGGAGTCCCTCACTCCTTTTGCCGAAAGGTATTTGAGGGAAAAGGAGTAATTTGTGCTTGCCCTTTGATGTTGTCCTGTCGTGATCTCTGAAGTTGGTGAGGAGTTGTTGCTTTTATGTCCCTGCCGAAGGCAGTCCCTCAGTTACCCACATGTCGGGACTTGAGGGCTTGCTTTGTCGTTTGTTGGAATTTCACTAATTTGTGTAATTTAATGATTTTCCCGAGGGGGTTCTTCCAGTCCCCCACTCCTTGAGGCACTTGTAAAGTGGGGAAAAGGAGTATAGTAGTTGCGTTGCTGTTGTGGGCCGAAGGCTGACGCTTTTCGTTTCATTTTGGGGGGATGCCTCGTTAAAAACCTCATTAGAAAAAACCCTGTGGGAAAAAATCCTAATGAGGGAAAAAGAGTGCACCGAATTCCCCCAATGATGAATCAAAAATGCCAAACCTTGGTCAAAAATGGAGAATAACGGTAATGCCGAAAGCTCTCCTTTTTCTGAGGGCTCATGTATTGATTAGCCGAAGGCTTGCTGTTGATGTCCTGGGGGTGCCGAAGGGGAGCCCCTCCATCTGGGGACCGAGGGCCTGATGGATGAGGGCAGCAGTGGAGTTGTTACCGAGGGGTCCACTGTTTGTTGATTAGTTGGTGATGAAGATTCCCGAGGGCTCCCATTACCTGTGTGCCATGGGTTATCCGTCAATGAGGCAACTCCCCGGGGGCTACCCGGTTCTTACAGTGCTGAGGGGGAATCCCCGAGGGGTGCCCTGATATGAAGCCTTGGGTTTCTGAAGGAGTGATCCCGAAGGCGTCTCTGGGTAAGTGTACCCGGAGGCTCTCCTTGATGAAGTGGAGTGAAGCAGAAAACCCGGGGGCTTCCAGAATATAGCCGTTGGAATATGTAACGTCAGGATATAGCCGTTGGGGGGTACACGTGGCGCATGACGGTTGGCTGCCCGTGGGCGGCGTCACCGGTTGGGTGAAAACACGGTGCGTAATGATGACGGTCCGTCCGGAGGCCCGGTTTCCGGGCCCAAGCCCGGACTCCAGCGCCTATAAATACCCCAAGGCCAGGCATCCCTCCGTGTGCGAAACCTTGTTAGCGAAGCTCTGCCAATTTTTCTAGAGAGAGAAACAGCAGCCCTCGGTTGAATCCTCTGTTCTTAAGGTCAGTTCTCCACTTGCCCTTCACCTCTTAGCTACCTGTATTGTGCCCTTAGGCTAGGAGATAGAATATTTAGAAAACACTAGCGTCTACGAGCCTTCGAACTAGAGTCAGAATGTCGTCCCAGAGTGATTCTCAAGATATCTCGGGGGCGCCCTCGATGGAGGATGAAGTCCTCTCGGACGTGGAGTCCTCAAGTGCACAGTCTTCGGTGGGACAGGATGCCGTCGTTGCCCTGGAGTTGCAGAAAGCCCTCGTAGCTGAGGCGGAAGCCGAGGGCTTCGAGCAAGAATGTGAGGACGAAGAGTTGGCCCTAGCCTGGCAAGCAGCTGAAGAGGAGGCACAATGAGAAGGCGCGAGGGTCACCGTTGCTGTGCTCCCCCCTCGGGGTGCCGGTGAGGCTAGCACCTCTCGGCCGCTGAATGCGGTCCCCATCCGGGTGGCCCCCGGAAAGAAGAAGGCCAAGGCCGCTGCTCCCAAGAAGAAGGGCAGCGTAGCAGACCAAGGGAAGCCCCTCGATATGCCCGAGGGGTATTCATATTTGAACACCGCCGCCCTGGAGATAAGGTCGAAGGCTGATGCGGCGGACATCTACGTCACTCAACTACACGTGGGCCCCTCGGCCATCGTGGTGACACCGGGTATAGATGACGTCCTCTCCCGGGCTCCCGAGGGCTGTATAGCGGTGCATGTTCTCTCGGTGTCCATGGGGCTCCGCTTCCCCCTGCACCCTTTCCTCCGGGAGTACCTTCGGTTCGTGGGTCTGGTCCCCTGCCAGCTGACCCCGAATAGCCATTCCTATATCACTGGCTTCCTCCAGCTCTGCAAGTCCCGGGGGGTGACGCCTAGCCTGGACCTCTTCTTCCAGAGCTTTAATTTGTGCCGGGGGGCACACGAATCCCGAGGGCTTCGCCAACTTACAGCAGGTGGCCCTCTTCAAGCTCTTTACCGAGGCGCCCTCCTCGAACAAAGGGTGGAAAGACCGGTGGTGCTACGTGAGGCTGGCCGAGAGCCCCTTCCCGAGGGAATTGCGTGACCGGTTCAGGAGGCATGAGAAGAGGAGGAGCGCCGCCCTCGAGAAAGACGGCAGGATCCTGGCCAAGATCCCGGAGGGCCGGGACAAAAACATCACCATTAAGGAGTGCACCAAGGAGGAGGATCTCTACACCCTCGGGTTCAGGCGGTATCGCTTTCTGGGGGAGACAGATGAGAAGTTCCCGGCATTCGAGGGAGCCTCCGGAGGTAGTGGCTGAGGGTACCCTTATTTTATGTCTTAGCAGATAGTCCCTCTGCTTGTTCGTTTCTTTTTTGTGCTATCTGTTAGTGACCCCTCGATCTTAACCCCATATTGTTTTTGCAGGTGTCAAGATGGATCTCAACGCCTTCGCCAACCTCAAAAAACAGAAGGCGAAGGTGCCGGGCCAGAAGGAGCTCGCAAAGCAGAAGCCCCTCGGGGAGACGAAGAAAGGCGGTGAGCCCTCGGGGGAGGCCGCAAAACGAAAGGCCGCCGGCAAGGCCCCAGTCCCCGAGGGGAAGAAACAAAAGAAGGGGGACGCCGGGAAGAAGGCTCCCTTGGTGTTGGTGGTGGATGAGCATTCTGCCTCGGAACCCAGTGCTCCGACTGCTCCTTGCCCGCCCTCCGGCAAAGGTGGCGAGGTAAGCTTGCCTCGGGAGGACATACAGTTCTCCCTGCCGAAGGGGTCTGCCATCACGCATGGCACAGTGGACCCCCGGGAATTTCTTGGCGGGGCTACACCCGCTCTAGACAGGCGGGCCCTCGGGAAGCTGGATGACGAAGCCCTCGAGTCCAAAATCCTCCGGTCCTCTCTTACCGTAAGTTCTCCTCCTTCCTCTCTTCTTCTTTCTTTTTCATTAGCCTCATGGCCCATGACTTTATCTGTTTGTGTGATCATAACTTTGTTGTTTGTCTAAACAGGCTTGCATAGCCCTCGGCGAACACGCCAGGAGATTCGACGAATGGCGCCTCCAGAGGGCGCAACAGGAAGAGTCCCTCAAGAAGCTCATCCACGATAACGCTGAGGCCATGAGGCAGATGGCTCAACTGGAGAGGGACCTCCAGCAGGCGAGGGCGGAAGCAGAGAGAGCCTCCCGGGAGAGGGTGGAGATGGAGAAGGCGGCTGCCGAGGCTGCGAAGAAGGCCCTTGAAGATGCCGAGGCCACCAAAGCAGAGGCCGCCGCTGCTGCAGTTGCTGCCTTCATGACCGAGGGTTGGAAGGCCGAAGGCCATAAAGACTGGGTGGCCTCGGTCATGGAGAGTTCTGCCGAGGGGTGGGTGAAGGGCCCCGGGGCGATGTGGCTAGCCCGAAAGGGCGAAGATTACTACGCCGGGGGGGAGTTCTTCACCCAGGCCCTGATCTACAGGAGGCTCGCCCGGCACCTGAAGATAGAGCCAACGGCCTTCAACCCGGCGGCGTACGGTCTCCCCCCCCCCCCTCCAGCCTGATATCAGAGTCCCCCTCCCCGAGGGCGTCGAGAGGCCGGAACTGGAGGATTCAGAACTCCTGAAAGAGGCTGAGGGCGATGAAGCAGAGGCGGATGCGGAGGTCATCTCGAAGCATGCGGAAGAAGCGGCCCCCGGGAATGACGTTGTTTGATGTGTAATCTGTACTCAGTATTTTGAACTCTTTGTAATAGCCACATTAGCATGTTTTTAGCCTCGGCCACCATTGTAATAACTACATTTACTCTTTGTTGTGATGAATGAATGATTGCCTTCGGGCTTTGTATATATGGCTTGTTTTCCTTAATTCATTTCTTCTTGAATGTATGCCTTCATCTCGTTTTGGATGTATGCCTTTGCTCCTTTGAATGTATGTTTTAGGACTTAGAATATTTTCTGATTGTAGCTTGCCCTGGGAAGCCTTCGGTAGTTGGGCACCCTCTGCTGGATATACAACCGAGGGTTCAGCAATAATTAGGACTTAGAAAATTTTTCTAAGTGTAACACGCCATAGGGCCTTCGGGTGTTTGTAGTTCAATTGCTGTGTGGTGATTAAGTTGAGAACCCAATTCCTAGGACTTAGAAAAATTTTCAGGTGTAGTTTTTGCCCTCGGATGCCCTTGGCTGGTAGCCTCCTTCCTGATGCGTGAATATTGGACCGAGGGCCCAATGTACAGGACTTAGAAAATTTTTGCAAGTGTAGTATGTCATATAGCCTCCGGCTGCTGTGGAGTCCCAACTGAAATATTCCTAAGTGTTTGAATACGGGTATACTGTAGCCTTTGATTGATAGGTAGCCTTCGGCTATTAGGTCCCTTGAGATGAGGGTGAAATATGTAGGACTTAGAAGGATTTCTAAGTGTAGATTTTCCCTTGGGAGCCTTCGGGAGACGGCATCCCTTCTTGATGTATGAGTAGTCGACCGGGAGAAAAATATGTAGGACTTAGAAAATTTTCCAAGTGTGGATTTTTCCTTGGGAGCCTTCGGGAGATGGCATTCCTTCTTGATGCATAGCCTTCGACTGTCATATTCATTTAGCTGTAATATTTATTGGGTCGGGGACCCAATCTTTAGGACTTAGAATTTTTTCCAAGTGCTGCTTCCTAGTGTCGTCTTCGGGTGATAGGTGCCCTCTGACTCTGCGTCCTTTTGCGGGATGCCCGGGGGCTACGCATTTAGGACTTAGAATATTTTCTAAGCGTAAATTGATGTTGAGCTTCCGGATGTAGATCCCTCCGGGTATTTGAATAGGACCCTCCGGGTGATCGTGAGGCCCTTGTGTTGTATGAGTCTTTGGCCGAGGGCCAAATATGTGGGACTAAGAAAAATTTCACAGAGTGTCGTGGATGTTGAACCTTCGGTCAGTGGGGAGTCTGTCCGGGGGGCAAATATTTTGGAATAGTCCCCCTCGGTTGGCTTTTGATGATTTGTAATATATGCCTTTGGTTGTCTGGTGATATATTAGCCTCCGGTTGCCGTCATTTTCCAAAAGTGTGGACTTAGGAAAAGTGTGGAATCATGTTGTTGTGAAGAAAGCCAATGATGAGTGTGTGCCCTCGGCATACACTCTGAAAAGTTGTAGAGTTTGACTCAGCCGGTTGTGTCCCTTGTAATGGGGTAGGGGCCCTCGGTATCAGTGCATAACAGATGCCTTCGGTGTTTGAAGTACCGTTTAGTGGACTTTGGATAGTCCCGTCCCTCTGTATTGTTGAAGCCTTCGGTGCTTGTGTGACCGGAGGTGACTAGGCAGTGGACTTAGCCGTTTCTTGATGATATTTGTTTGAGTAGTATCCTTCGGGAAATAGGAGCCTTCAATTACCGGAGGTGTTCCCGTGGGGAGCCCTCGGCATGTTGTGATCTGTTGGAGTGTACTCTTTGGTGGTGAAGGGAAGGCATCAAGAAACTTGGTTTCTCAGTAAGGCTGGGCCTATTAGGAGACCATCAGAATACACCAATGGCTCTCCTCCCTCGGGTTAACCTTCCGAGTTCCGAGGGGGTCGAGGGTCGTTTCCTGGGCACAAGATATGGTGGTCTGTAACCTGCCTCCCCTTGGGGGATGGCGCGGAAAGCGCCTCATTTTTGAAAGTCGTCCCCTCGGCGCTAAACATAGTCCGTGGCCTACCACACCCTTGGGGTGGTGGCGCGGGGAGCGTTTCGGTTTGGAAGTCGAATCCTGGGCATTTCTCATGCCTGTCATACCCTTGGGGTGATGACGCGGATAGCGTTCCGTTTTTGAAAGTCGAATCCTGGGCATTTCTCATGTCTGTCATACCCTGGGGGTAGTGACGCGGAAAGCGTTTCAAGGAAGGGTTTTCATTTGCACACTAGTTGCAAATGGCCGGGGGCACTACGTGCCGCCGGCACCGATGGTGGCGCCTTCGGTATATGCGTCCTCGTGGGGTACGGCTTTTAGAAATAACACTTGGTGTTAGTTTCGATGTGTAGCCCCCGGTACTTGGCACCGAGGGGTCTTCTGTAGGAACACTTGGTGTTCTCTTTTGTTGCAGTTTGATGGAGGTGTCCACCCTCGGTACTTGGCACCGAAGGGTCTTCAAATGAAACACTTGGTGTTTTGATTGGAGTGTTTGGTGTCGGAGGGCCCTCGGAGGAAACACTTGGTGTTTCCCAACAGGTGTTTGGAAGTTGATAGGAGAGCATATCCCTGGCACTGGGTGCCGAGGGGTCTTCTTTGAAACATTTGGTGTTTTTCTTCGTTCTGATGTTGGTGATGGAGGTGTACCCTCGGCACTGGGTGCCGAAGGGTCTACTGTAGGAACACTTGGTGTTCTTATTTTTCTTTTTTGATGTTGGAGGTGGGGATGTACCCTCGGCACTGGGCGCCAAAGGGAAATTAAACACATGGCGTTCCTTGTTGTTGGTACCGAGGGGTCTTGTGTGAAAACACGTGGTGTTCTCCTGTTGTTGTAGGTGTTGATGGTGTCCGCCCTCGGCACTTAGTGCCGGAGGGGGTTCTTCTCGTGGTGAGGCCTGGGGCCTGTAGTCAGTATGAGGGCTTGGCGTTTGGAATGTGTCTTCATTCCTCAAAAGTGGAGGCCTTGGGCCAAAGGGTAGTACATTCATTAGTTATGAGGGCTTGGCCGCTCTTACATTATTGGTAAAATTTAACTAAATGGTGTACATTCCAGTGCCTAGGGACCTCTTTCCCGTTAGGGCGTTTTAGCTTATAAGTCCCAGGTTTGATGATGGCTGCTATGATGTAGGGGCCTTCGAATTTTGGTGCCATTTTTCCTCCCTCGGTTGGCTGGCTGGCTTCCCTCCTCCGGAGGACGTAGTCTCCCACTTGAAATTCTCGGGTGCGAACTTTGGCGTCGATGTAGCTTTTGACTTGCCTTCGATAATTTTCTGCCCGGATGAAGGCCTGCTCCCGGCGTTCTGAAATGAGGTGGAGGTCGAGGGCCATGTTGCTGTCGTTGACCTCGGGGTCATACTGGATCACCCTTCGGGTGGGAAGGGTGACTTCCGTAGGAGCTTTGGCTTCAAAACCGTAGCAGAGTGAGAAGAGTGTTTCACCTGTTGCTCGCCGAGGGGTGGTGCGGTAGGCCCAAAGGATGTTGTGGAGTTCTTCCACCCAGCCTCCGCCCTCGGCCTCCAGCTTCTTTTTGAGGCCCTCGAGCAAGGTCCGGTTGGCATTCTCTACTTGCCCGTTGCCTTGAGGGTAGGCAATGGAGGAGAAGGTGTGTTTGATGCCCCACGCCTCCAGAAAGGCACAGAAGGGGGCTGCCTCAAATTGTGTTCCGTTGTCGGAGACGATCTGCTGGGGGACGCCAAACCTTGTGAGGATGTTCTTGAGGACGAAGTGACGGCACTTCGCCTCTGTGATACTGGCGAGGGGCTCAGCCGCCACCCACTTGGTAAAGTAGTCGATGGCCACAATGATGTACCTGTTGTTGGAGGTACCCCTCGGCAGAGGGCCCACAAGGTCTATCCCCCATCGAGAAAAGGGGACGGATGTGGTGATGGGGGCATAGTTGACCGCTGGCCTGCCGGGGGCTTTCTGGAAATGTTGACATGCGATGCACCTTCGGGCAAGGTCACCACAATCTCTGGCCATGGTCGGCCAAAAATAGCCCTGGAGAATGAGCCTTCGGGACATGGAGAAGGGTCCCTGGTGAGCTGAGCAAGTGCCACTGTGCACTTCCTCCATTGCGACCTCGGCTTCATCTTGATGAAGGCACCGAAGTAGCATGCCATTGTAAGATCGTTTGTAGAGCCTTCCATCTTCGATGGTGTAGCTAGGAGCCCTCAGTTTTGCCAGTTTAGCGCGGGTCTCATTCTCGGGTAGCTGCCCCGTGGAGATGAAGGCGGCGATATCCGAGATCCAATCCTCTTGGCGTTGTTGTATGTTCATGACAGGGCTTGCATGGATACTTGAGAGGCTGAGTTCCTCAATTTTGGCAATTTTGGAGATGTGCTCGGGGGAGTCGGCCGAGAGCTTGGATAATATGTCGGCCTCGGAGTTCTGAGCCCTCGGTATTTGAGTGAGAGAGTGTGCCTCAAATACCTTGAGCAACTCCTTGGCCGCTTCCTTGTATTGTTTCATTCTTCCCTCCTTGGCCTCATATTCCTCGGAGATTTGGCCGACGACCAATTTGGAGTCGCATTTGATGTGGATCTGCCGAGCCCTCATGTTGGCAGCCAGCCGAAGGCCACATAGGAGGGTCTCATATTCGGCCTCGTTGTTGGAGACCTTGAAGGAAAAGCGGATTGCATAGTAGGCTCTGAAGCCCTCGGGAGTAATGAGGACCACCCCTCCCCCGCATGCTTTGGTCGCGGAAGAGCCGTCGGTGTAGAGGGTCCACCAATCGTCCGAGGTAGCCGAGGGCTCCCCGTCCGTGGCTGCCCTTGCGGTGCACTCCGTCACAAAGTCCGCCAGGGCTTGGCCCTTGATGGCAGGCCTCGGACGGATGTCAATGTTGTACTGGCTCAGGAAGATAGCCCATTTCACCATGCGGGAGGAGCTGGTGGGGCTCCTCATGAGGGCGCCGAGGGGTTGATGAGTGAGGACCTGAACCGGGTGAGCTTGAAAGTAGTGGCTCAACTTCTTGACAGTCCAAACGATGGCCAACACCGTTTTTTCCACAGGGGAGTACCTGAGCTCGGCCTCCCTTAGGGTTTTGCTTACATAGAAGATGGCATGTTGGATGCCGTCTTCCTCCCGGATGAGAACGGAGCTGATGGACGTCGAGCTGACCCCAAGATAGAGATAGAGGGTCTCCCCTACCTTGGGCTTTGAGAGCACAGGGGGTGAAGATAGATACCGTTTTAGCTCGTCGAAAGCCCCCT